AAGCAGGCCTTCGATAAAGTTGACCACTCCATCCTATTGCAGAGACTCTCCGACATTGGATTATCCGGCAACCTGTTGGACTGGGTAACGTCCTTCCTGCTCGGTCGTACCCAGCACGTAGTCTTCGGCGGGCAGAGGTCTAACACCGCAGAGGTCGTGTCAGGGATTCCTCAGGGTAGCGTCCTAGGCCCTACCCTCTTTAACATCTTTATTGATGACATCACCCGGGTCTTAGGTTGTACGCCCCTTCTTTATGCCGACGACCTCACCCTCGTGCAGCCAATCCGTTGCCCCCTCGATCACCAACTACTCCAAGCGGACCTGGACAATGTTGTCGCCTGGTCGGGAAAAAACAGACTTCCACTGAACTTTGCCAAGTGCACTGTGATGCAGATATCCTCATCCAGGCAGCAGCGTTCCGCACTCCCCTGCTACAACCTCGACGGAGTGAACATTTCCAGAACGACCAGCACCAAGTTGTTAGGTGTCAAACTGGACTGTCGACTCAGTTTCGGCACTCACATTGCCGAAGTGATCTCCCGAGCTCGAAGGATGCTGGGTTTTGTTACCCGTGTCTCAAGAGGGGCCGGGTCAAGAACACTGAGGCACCTCTACACCGCACTGGTGCTGCCGCACCTTGAGTACTGTGCCGCAGTCTGGGACCCCCCTCAGGCCACCTTATCCGCTTCTCTTGAAAGTGTGCAAAGACGTGCCGCGTACACTATCTTGCGGTGGCAGACCCCTCATGTCCCCCGGTACCGGGACATAGCTACGAATGATCTGCTGGCACGTGTGGGTTGGAACTCCCTGGCCCTGCGCAGGAAAATCTCCTCGGTCCGGCTTTTGGCAACCTGCCTCCCGCCAGAGGCTCCCGAGGTTCCTCTTGCTCGGCAGCTGCGGCTGAACCGGAATGGTGGCCTTCAACCACTCTTTGCCCGCACTGACCGGCACCGGAATACCTTCGTCATCAGGGCAGTAAATCTGTGGCGGTCCCTGCCATCAGAGCTGACAGCGGGCCTGAGCGAGAAAGAAGATATAAGACCCATCTGCAGGGGGGCAATACCGCACTTGCGGTCCTAAGCAGCACGCAGCCGAGTGTTGTTTTGTTTGTTGTTGTTGTTTTTTTGTTTTTTTTTTTGTCGCTCATGTAACTGCGGCACCACAGACCTCCTGGTATGGGCTCCTCGCCTTTTGTGGTGTCGCAACTCTTTCCGAGTTGAATAAATATTATTATTATTATTATTATTCCGGAGCAGTGCCAGCAGCGCTACATACACTGGGTAAGACGGCCGTCTCCAATTTGCGGGACACACGCGGAACTAAAGCAGCGAAACCACGAGGAACTCTGTCGACGTTTTCGACGTTATGGAAATCGCGGGAACTGCGTCCAAGGAAGGCAGGTTTTCCTGCCGGCTGCCTGGGTGCCTTCCGTGCTGAGTTCGGTTCCGTTGTCCCGTGCCGAGTGCCAACCGGCGTTCAACGTGATTCTTCTGCGTGTCAGCAACATCGTCAACGTGGTTTTGTATTTCTTCGTGTCAGCGACATCGTGATGGCAGTGTTGTGGGTTGTGAACAGAAGACTGGAATTATCGCCGATGTGACCGTGTGTTCGCGTATCAGTGGTGTAACAACAAGTTGAGATGACGTAAACTGTCGGGCATTGATGCCGCTGGTCGGGCCGTTATCGGAGGGGCCGGGGTGTCGCAGGATGACATTCCGCTTTACATTAAAGAGTTTAAAACCACTTGAGGGATTAGGTGCAGTCGATCGACGTGTGGATAGCCATGTTGGAACGCTGGTCTGAACGGTAAGCTCCTATCGTACAGTGGCCAATGTGACTGTCGGTCCCCGAGAGCGATTGCGCTCTGGGGAAAAGACAACACTACGAAAGTATGACGGAAAGTACGTATATTTATAATGGAAGTTTAGCATAAAAAAAAGACGGGCAAAATCGAAAAAAAAAACAAAAAACGCTATCCTTTATTTTACTGTTTAAATATATTACGGTTCCTGTAGAAACTGCCCTCTAAGTGGCGCGCTGGGATGAGCGCTAGAAGTTTTCGAGCTCGCAACGGCGCAGCTCCGTACACTTAACAGTTGTCGGAAGTCGCGGCTTTGACTGCATTCAAGTTGATCGAAAAGCGATTTCTGTGCCCGTGAAGTATCACTTCCAGCTGAGTGGATATCCGCTCTACAGAGATTAATTCAAGACGGCAATTGCAGCTTTGCGCGAACAGCACAAATAGAAAAACGAACACTACAATATAAATACTGGCTACGAAGGGCCATGCGGGAAAACAAACTCATGGCTTAGAACCACATTGGAGCGGCTCGATTTATTGGCTTTCAAATAATTATGGCATGATCGAGCGTCTTCTTTTTAATAAGAGATTCATCCCCTGAGCCATTAAAAATAGCCTCAGATGTATGACATTGCTGGAAAAAAATGAACATGTTCGGAATATTTTTTTTTTTGCTTAGGGAGTCAAGAAAATAGGTAATAAACGTGTTACTGGCAAAAAAAATTATAACCGGGATTTTCCGGCCTTACTGCGAAACCTCAGTGTTTCTTTTTTTTTTTTTCTGTAGTTTTTGATACGTATTTTAGCTATTTAACAAGTTATATTGCACCGTTATCAATCCCCTCGTAAAAGTTGGGGCGTAATTATACGGGACAAAAGGGTGTCAGGCTACACCTTTTCTTTTCTTTTCTTTTTTTTAGAGCGCAGACTTTTTTTCATTGTTTTCATCCTTTGATAGTACTGGGACGCTTTCCATGCAGGTATTCTAGCACGGCCAGATTTTTTATTTTTTTTTTTTTTTAGCAGTGATTTTATGATGTAAAATGAATGCGCGAATTGCGGGCCGGATCGGGTTTCGAATTTTCGCGGATGCAGTTCGGATGCGGATACAAAGTATGCGGACGCAGATCAAAGGCGGATGTTTGAATTGTTATTCGCGCAAGGCTCTACCTATAAGCAGGAGCTCATTGTGCGGGTTCAACCGAGATAATGAAGCCCGTTTTTTTAGACCGTATAAATAAGGTACCCATCGCAGAAAGCTGAAACTCCGTGACAGCGTGACACTAGCGGTGGTTATTAAATGCGGAAGTTTGAGCACATGACAATACCTGAATCAAAAATACAAAAAAAAAAATTCCCGATGATCCGACGTTTACCTAAGCTTAAATCATATTCATCCAACCGAAATATGAGATGGTGCGCACATTTAGCATCCACTTCATTAAAAAAATAACTTGTCAGAAAAAAAAACAACAAAAAAAAACTATATTATCTTTCTCACGGACAAGTTAATTCACCGAAATAAATGGTTCGGGCGCCCACAATCACACATATCGGCTTCATGAATATTGCGCATAAATAGGCAACTTTTTTTTTTTTTAATTTAGGTAATGTTTTGTCTAAACTTTCGGATTTTATCCAAGAAGCTTGGGCTTTCTGCATTGTGTAACTTAAGGCCCGTTCACACTCTTGCGACTGCTTGCGACCTCTTAAACCTGGGTTCCTTAAAACTTCTTAAACCAGAGAACACACTGGCGCCATTTATTGGGAAGCAGTGTAAACTCGGCGGTCCGGCATATTTTTTTTTTTATTTCTCGCGCAATATCCTTTCTTTTTTGGCTCGAAAAACTTTTGTCAATGTTATAAACGAGCCTTTCTATGGGTATTACGCACATTTGACCTCGGAAATCCCGCAAAACCTTCGCTTTTGTGAAATGCAGTTCTAGGGTCACCGCATAGATGGCGCCACAATGTCAGTGTGTCCCCTCATTCTAGAAACATTTAAGAAGTTGTAAGAGATCTCGTCTCTCTCAGTCGTACTCGGTCGCAAGAGTGTGAACGGGCCTTTATACGAGGTGTGATCAGAACGTTCCGGGACTGATTTTGTAGCATAAAAAGAGAGGGCAGCACAGTGATGCGCGCTAAGCAGTCGAAGGAAGCGAACTTCGTGTCTCGTTATACCAAAGGGCGCCGCTCTGTGAACATTTGGAGCTGCGTTTCACGAGGTTTCGTGACCACGTGCATGGGCACAATGGCGATTTTACTATAGACTCCAAACCAGAGCGAGAGCGAGCATCAATTTTGCGTCAAACTCGACAAATATAAAGCAGAGACCTTCGATATGATTCAGCAGGCTTGTGTAAAAAAACAGTAAATTTCGCGAAGTTTTTTAAGTGCCTCTCACGCTTCAGGAACGGCAGAATATCGCTGGAAGACGAAGAGCGGTACGGCGACTTTATCCGACCTCTTCTTGACTTCGGTGACCTTCTGCCATTCTTGAGGCGCGAAAACAGAACGGCTGAAGTTTCTTTATAATATGATACAAGGTAATTTGCGACTGCATCTCTGTGATTACACTTCATTTAACGAAACAAGGCCCACGAGAGGCAAACACCAATTAACACTTGTCGAACCATTGCGTCGAACAACTTTGTTTAAAGCATCCTTTTTTCCTAGAACCACGTGTGAGTGGAATAAGCTTCCTGAAAGTGTTGTAAATTTGAGATCAATAGATACTTTTAGTGAAGCCCTACTCTCGCACTTTGTTGAGTAGTGGCTCTGTCTGTTTGTTTGTACTGCTTCCGCTTGTTTTTGAACGTTGTTTTTGTACACCTCCTGCGTGGGCGTTCTACAGAATGCTGGCAGTATCACCAAATAAATAAAAATAAAAAATAAATAAAACACCTCGCACACCTCCTTTTCTTTCTTATTTTTTTTTTACATAAACCTTATAAATCATTTTAGAGGTTTCTGTTTTATGTTTGCTGAGCTTGGCGTAAAATTGATGTTCGTTCGCGCCTTGGTTTGCAGTGTATGGAAAGATCGCCATCATGCTCGTGCATGTGGTCAAACAAACTAGTGTAGCGCAATTCCAAATATTCACAAAGCGACGCTGTTTGGTATAATGAGAAACGAAGGTTCTTTACTATGACTGCTGCGCGCGCATCACTGTACTGCCCTCACTTTCTAAGGTACAAAATCAGTCCCAGAACTTTTTGATCGCCCCTCGAGACAACAAAACCGGGTTTTGTTTTCTCGAGTGAAACCGGTACTGTAACAGAAGGAACTATAAATGAGATTGTGTCCCGTGAAGAACGTGTACGCCACTGCGCCTACCACAGACGAAATAATAAAAAAGAAATATTTATATATATTTACTTTGCAGATTTCGTCGCCTTCCCCGTGGCCACAGAACATGGTGTCTTTCAGGTACTTGGCGTATTTAAACTTCACCACGCAGTCGTCGTCGGAGAGAAGCTTTAGGCCGGTCGAGTACCATGACCCTTCTGGCTTGGCTGGACCTGAAGAAACCAGATGTTTAACGGATGCAAGCGGTGTACAGTTACATCGAAGCTTTATATATACAATCTATATTGTCGTACCATTAAAGACACTCAATATTATAGAGGATGCACTTGGTTTTTGTTTGGCGTTGAATATCAAACAATGCTATATGTTACGTACTTAACGTCAAAGTTCAAGGAGCGATGCAACAATTTTTGTATTTTCAGTAAATAGAGTACTTAGACTTGTTTCTTGACATTCATGACCCACGCGTTAGTATTCTTTTTTCTCCATGCAATGGCAGTTAAATAAAAAGGAAAAAAAAAAAGAAGTTTCCGGTAAACGAGCAGCGTTTACTCCCTCAACTTGCTCCCAGAACAAGCAGTCACGTGATCCGGAGTCAATTATATGCCGCCAACATTAAAGCCATAAACCTTGATGACAAAATCTTGGGGATCGCATTGTTGACCACGCCAACAATTTTGGGAAGGAGAGACTGAAAGAAAACGTCCTCCTTTATGTGTGCAAGTATACTTGAGTCCCCCCAGTGCCAGCAAGCTAAGTGAGAAACGTAACTGCCCAGGCCCCTTTAACGTATAAAGGTTGGCTTTTTGCAAGGAGCGAAAGTATACAGGAGAGCCGGTTAGGAAAAACATTATAGTCTAAACCCTGAGAAAAAGGGAAATAAAGTCGTTCATTATTGTATTTCTCCTTGTCTCATGATTTAGAATATGATAGAATATGATCCTGAATGATTTTCCAGGGATTTAAAATGTTATTTGGTCAAGAAAGAACATTTCCACCGTCTTTATAAAAAATGCGGCTCTTCACTGATGTACACCAAATTCAGTTTATTTCGGGCCTTGGCGAAGAAACTGTTCAAGCGCGATAAACGCATGCATCTTGACAGCGTAGAAAATAGCTTGCTTCGCCGCCCGAAGACTTTCTGGAAGTTCACGAAGCAACATACACGTGACGTTAGTCCTATCATCTGCTTACGTGCCTGTTCAGATAACGCCCGGGTTATGTTTCATCACCTCATGAAGTTGCAGATGTTTTCGTTGATTATTTTGCCAAATGTTTTTCTGACAATCAGCAATCCGTTCTACCGGAGGATAAGGAGCTGATTTGTCACGATTTTTTGAGTTCTATAAGAGTGGACTCTCTTGATATTGCCGAGGCGATAAGAAAGTTAAAACCGAAGTTTTCTTCTGGTGTAGATGGTGTACCAGGTTTTGTTATCAAAGGTTGCGGTCAGCTGTGCATTCCTATTTTGAAGCACATTTTTAATATGTCACTCAGTTCAGGCGTTTTCCCTTCGCTCTGGAAAAAAGCAATTGTTGTTCCTATCTTAAAAGGCGGTGACGCATCTGTAGTTGCGAACTACCGTCCAGTTTCTCTGCTTTGTGCTTTTTCCAAGGTTTTTGAGATTGTTGTGCATAGCAGGATGACCTTTTATTTCCGTCAAAAAATAACGCCATTGCAGCACGGTTTTTTAAAGGGTAGGTCTGTGGAAACAAATTTGTGTACTTTTTTAGATTACGTTGTGCCGTTTGTTTTAAACAGAGAACAAGTAGATGCAATATACTTTGACTTGTCAAAAGCCTTCGATAAAGTGAGTCACGTGTTGCTTTTGTCCAAGTTGCATCTGTATGGTGTCTGTACAGAATTGTGTAACTGGTTTAAGAGTTATTTGTCTTTTCGATCAAATAGTGTTCCGGTCGCTGACAGTTATTCCAAAGAGTTTTTTTCAATATCAGGCGTGCCCTAGGGTTCAATTTTGGGTCCTCTACTGTTTTCAATTTTTATAAATGATATAGCGTCATGTGTAAAGAACGTTGAACTGCTTTTATTTGCTGACGATATCGAGTTGTTTAAGAGTGTTCACTGTCATTTAGATTGTGATCTGATACAACATGATGTGTCTAATATAGCACAGTGGTGTAAACAAAATCAGTTATTTCTTAATCCTTTAAAAACAAAAGTGATATATTTGTGCAGACGCCGCGCGATCATAAATAACACTTATCATCTTGAGGGAAATCCGATTGAACGAGTGTCAATTGTAAGGGATCGTGGTGTGTTCATTGACTGCGGATTAACTTTTAAAAATCATGTCTCTTTTGTTGTCAGCTCTGCAATGAAAGTTCTAGGAGTTATATCGCGTTTGACCAAGCATTTTAAAAAGCCCCATTGTTCAATACATCTTTTTCAATCCTTAGTGGTTTCAAGGCTTGAGTTTGCTTCTGTGATTTGGAATTCAATTTCTGTAACACAGGCTTTGATCATAGAGCGTGTGCAAAAAAGATTTGTTCGAATTGTTTATGATAGATGGATTGGACGACGCGTGTATTATGACTGTGAATGCTTACTGAATAGATTTTCGCTGAAGCTTTTATCACACAGAAGAATAGTCCTTGACTTGGTATTCCTGCATAAGATCATTAATGGTGCCATTGATTCTTTATGGCTTATTAGTAAAATCCATTTCCATGTTCCTTTCCGTGCGACGAGACAGCTCACCTGTTTTGATATTTGCTCACCATGCCGTGTGTCACCTCTTTCTCGTTTACAGACATTGTATAACAGCATTGTGCCACCTCAAGTTGACATCACCACACCCCTGCCTACATTTCGCTGTCAGTTGGACGAACTTTTCGTCACTTCATAGCGCGTCAGTGTATATGCATATCTATTTCTTTTTAATGAGTAGGATTTTTGTTTAAGAGTTTTTATTGCACGAGTTGGTGTACCTAAGAGAAGGCCGCTCGGTCGTTTTAGGGCACCCGAAAAATAAAGATTATTATTATTATTATTATAGGTGGGCTCTTCTCGAGAGAATTCACCTAAGAAATGATTTTTCTCGGGAATAAAATTAATAATAATTCTATTAAGTTAGCTCCTATTTTACCCACATTACATGTGGGTAAAAGTGAAGAATACATTAACTTAATTTCTGTATAACACGATTTTTAGGCGATCTTTCATTTCTGTGAACAAGGTAGCTGTTAAACCTCTGTAATAGCTCAATAATGCGGAGTCATCGAAAACTGTTTCTTCCAACCTGAATGTGTAGAAACGAAGCCAATTAGGGTGTCCCAATATTCGTGTTGTATTTCTTTTTTTAATAATATAAATCAATATTGTTTTACATTTAAGTTCTTCGATCACTCACTGACATTTCCACACAAAAGTTTGATTTAGTGGTTTTTATTTCCTCCTATATATATCTAGAACAGCGAGCTAAAACGTGAAACAGAGAAAGGGGAGCGGCCGATGCGTCTCGAATACCTGCGCAATTTGCAGCTCAAGGAAGGAAAGATTACAGATAGTCAAGTGTCCAAATTAACGAGCATTTTCTGTGCCCAGGACATTTAAAAACTCACCACTCCTCGCATGCTCGAGAACCCAGGCTGCGTCAATCCGCGATTCACCATTCCTATTTGCATCAAAAACTCTTTACTCTAAGAGATTGCTAAATTTTGCGTTATTTCTATCTTCCTAATCTCTATTCAATACGAACGCTAGGCTTCATTAAACTCACCAAACGATCTCCGCCTGATGCCAACTGTGATCAGTGTCATTTTGCTCAGATCTGCTGGTGTAGATTGCAGACAAATCGGCATGATGTTCTTGTTGAACTTGATTTCTTTCTCAACCTGGAACATAGTTGTCGCTTTATTTGATTAGCACTAGGTAATGAGTCAGATAAGAGATTTTCATTCCGCAATTCACTATGTGCCTGGTGTTTATGTAAATGCATCGTTACCTTAACTTTCTTAACTGCTTTTTTTAGGAGCGAAGCTCCTTAGGGTCTAGCCTTGTCCGGCGTTCATGCTCACATTGATTGCCGTCCCATCTGTCTTCTTTAAAAAAATAAAAATGTTTGCGCAGTTAACAGGATTCGAACCTGTAGACCCCAACGGATTTCTAGTCCATCGCCTTAAAGGAATACTACAACTAAATTTCGGCGCTTATTTTATGTTCTATATGTGTTCAAACGAGCAGTATCACATCGAACACACCAATATCTAATTAAAAAAGTCACGAAAATTACTTTTAAAACGAATTAAACGATTAGCAAAGAGCACCTGGTGGATGTCGCTAACGCCTCGTTTGTAATGCCCGTCTAGGAACCTTGACAGCTAGTGACGGAGTGTCTCGCCTCCGGCCACGACGAGAGAAGAGGGGAAGGAGGAACTCCCCTCTTCCCGAGGATGCCTTTTGTGTGTCGCAGAAGTCGCTATTGTCCGCCTACAAGATTATAGAAGATTAACCGGTCACTCAAAATTCGTACAAAAGCAGCCGCTTCGGTGGCTGGAACGACTAGGCCATCCTCTTCACGTCAGCCTCGCCGTAGCTTTGCTCGTCCCGAGACGACCTACCTCACGATTGCGTTGTATGTCGCGTGGTCTCCACTGGGCCTTCTCCGAGCGCTTGCCAGATTGGGCCGTTTATCACGAAAAATTCAGGCACCAGGCTCAAAATACAAACGTGCGATTGTCATTTATAGATATTGTGGATCATATTCAACCTATTTTTGAATACGACGGGAATATTTGAAATTTCGTTGAAGTATCCCTTTAACCACTCGGCCAAGACTGCGGGGCGAGTAGGGGGCTCTGAAATGTGGTAGTAACTCAAGAGCTGGGGATGTCATCGATGAAACGTTGCATGTAGCCGCTCAACGTCTATACAGGAGAGGGCGCTGCGGTCGAATGCGTATATAATCGCGTTAAACTTTGCACCATCGGCACTACCTATAAAAGAAATCAGTATCATCAGCACCCACCAGAGCTTCGCCCCAGTCAACATCATTCACCACTTGGAGATGCGTTCTTTTTTTTTTTTTTTTATACTTCCAGTTCTTTAACACAACATAATTTGTAGCACCAACGACACTATAACCAAACCAGCGTTTCCAAACAACCCCGCTTTGCCCGCACCAGGTGTGGGCACTGCGCATGCGCAGAAACCAAATTCTGGAGGAGTGAAGCGTTTACGCATGCGCAGCACCGACAGCAGCGCCACTGCAGTGCAGTGACGTCAGTGAGTTGGGTTGGTCTATACATATACTTCGCTTCAGCTTAAGTGCAGACCCAGTCGACGCTACGAGCTAATGGAGCCAATCAACAGCGTTGAAAGCGCGAGTCACTAGGCCTTTTCTGTTGATGGTTGGTTTAATGACGATAGAACACGTGCAGGAATGTCTCGAACACCATAATGGCGTGCTTTTGACGCTCTCTGATTGGCCCATCAGCTCGCAGCGTGGGCTGCGTATGGAGGGTAAAACGAAGTATAGAAACCTCACGTTCATTCTTGAACGCGTGTCTTCTCAAACTTTCCGCTAATCGGAAATTTTTAAGTTTTTTTTTTATTGTTAGCGCTAAGTCGTATGTCAAAGTCGGTGAAGACTAAGCCATCAGCTTCGATCATCTCTGTGTCTGAAAGTATCGCAGAAAAAATAGCACGTCGCGATGCTTGGTCACGTTTCTAATAGGGTCAATGGTCCCGCATCATTGCAATCTCAGATTTTTTAGAATGTTCATGGCGTGTAGATTGAGTTTACGCCATAAAAAAGTCCAAAATACAGCTTGGTGTCCCTTAAATGCGTCAAGTCATGCAGTGTACTAGTTGTACATGAACATATAGGTTTACTAGCAGAGTATTTGTACTTAAAGGGTCACTGACGACTCAAACGTTTATAATGGCAAACGATTGGAAATATTCCCTGGGCATTAACCTAAGAAACGTTGAGCTTAGGAATGTCTGTTTTTAAAGCAAAGAGGCTTTCAAAAAGTCTAATTTAAAACTCCCGCCCGAATTGATAACGTAGATGGCGAAATGACGCCTTCCTTGCCCTTCTTGGACCACTTCAACCAGGAATCGTCTTTTAACCGCTATTTTCCTCTAAAGTTGTTATCGATCACGCCAACAGTGTTTTAGTAGATCGTTCCGGTTCCCCCCGTCAACGATACCCGATAACGACTAGTTGCATGCGCAAAGGCGACGGCGGAGTATCGGGTATCGTTATCGGGACAATCTACCAAAGCGGTCGCTTGCGTTTGCCAACCGGACGATCGCACCTTTAACTCGCTGAGTACATGCGCGTGCCCCTTTCTCTGCGTGCAAACACGCGTCACTTTTTTCAGTTACATTTTTTGGAATGTTTTATTCAGTAGGTTTTAAACGTACTTGTTTTTGTGTTTTTTTCTAAGTAAAAAGAAAAATGCCGTGTTGCAGCCTTTTGCGAGCGACGCGAGAGATAGACCAACCTTCTTGATCGCTTGACCATTGCCGTAGCCTCCTCTATACTCACAAAGCCTGGCAGTTCGACGACGGAGCCATTGAGTGCCCGGTCGCAGATTTGGAGCGCGAGGATCTGGTAGCACAGAGCATCGAAGGGCCATTTATTCGGGAATCTGGATGTCAGCGCACAGTTTTTGCTGTGGTGAGGACCCAAAACACACTTGTCCGCTCGGGAGAAACATGTTTCGGCATCTCGCCGCAGCGGGGTGCCAGTCACGTGGCTCTCCTCTGATCCGTTGTCTGCCGCTCCGCCTTTTTCATTTCGGCGGTCGCTTCTCGACGCGGCCAGGCTTTGTCAGTATAGGGGAGGTTATGCCATTGCCGTCTCGAAGTCCGGGATGTTAGTCGGAACCGAAATAAACAACTCGTTCGAACCGTCGCCGTCGTCCCCATCCCTCCCAATGCCCTCAGCATTGCCACCGGACGCCGCCATATGGAAAGAAAGAAAAAAAGATGTTGGTCGATTCCACGTCACTGACGCTTCAAAACTCTAAGGTTTTTTGGGTTTTTTTTTTTTTTTACTTTTTTGCATCGGAGCTGTTAAAAGCGACGTTCCCCAGGATTGTGTCCGGTATGCCGACACAAACCTGCCTGGACAGCTACCACCATCTATAAGCGATGGTGGCAAGCACACAACCAGTGTGGTTTCCACCGTCGCTCGTAGATGGCGCCAACCTTTCTAGCTATCATAGAAGAATGGATAGTTGGACGCGTTGGTGAGAATTCATCGTAGGAAACAGCGCGAAAAAGAGACGACGACGAGGAAGCACACAGTGTATCGACTACAGCTCCGCTGGTCTTCCTTCTTCACGAGAGTGGAAAGGCTGAACGATTTTTTTTATTTGGAAGTCAGGTGTGTATTGCGTTTGTAATATGGTCGTAAAAATACATATTTGAATATCGTCATTAATAATTGTTTCACGCTTACAACTTGCGTTATCTCTAAATTAAAAAAATAAAGTCTTCGCCTACTACGTCGTGACAAATAAAAAGTGAGGAGAAACAGTAATTGGAGGAGGAGGACGCGGATTTTTGACAGGCCTTTTCGGCGACACCTCCATGATGACGAAGCCGTTGTGCTGATATAGATGTCAATGAGGGAATTTCAAAGAGGGCATACATGTTGACAACAAGTAACGCATCCCCCTCGCCGTCTTTTCAGGGTGCTCAAAAGCTTTCGATTTCAGAAGTCGGGATGATGCGTACCATCACCAGGGCGACGTCCTTCTCGGAGCTCGGGTATTTGTATTCGGGGTGCCTCAAGATCTTCTTGACGGGAACCGTGACGTTTTGTCCGTTGTCGTCGTGTCCGTAAGTATTGACCCAGATCTTGGTGGGATCCTCGCCCGTCCTGAAATAAGAATAGTTTCCGTAAATTATTTGCAACAACCTATTATTTGATACCAACTCCATTAAAACCTCGGTATGAACTCATGCCATAACCAGAACATGAAATGCAACGCAACACAGGACTTTACAGAGCGTGCTGCGGCACGTGAGCTGCATACAAGCGCCGGAAGGGGGCACTACAAAGTTTTAGAGAACCTTCTTGCATCTCCGATCGGTCCCGACACGATCGCCGAACGACGTGCCGAAAATGCGTCCTTGCTTCGATTACAAAAAAAAATGCAGCTTCGCTCGTCGATGCCGAAGGAAGAGGCTGGGAATATGACGGAAATAAATTGATTTTGTGGATTAGAGAAGCGACGCGTAAAGTTTTCGCCAAAAAATTGTAATAAAAAAAAACACAAACAAAAATAATAAACGAAGATCTTTGGCTAACACGAGCAAAAGAAAAAGAGAAAATAAATGGTGGTTTTGGAGAGATTGGCAGCCTTAAAATGGCGCCGGCTTGGGAAAACTATATTTAACTATTTTTATATCTACTTTACATTTAAATATAATTAAATGCATTTAAATGAATTTGCCCTAATTGCACGTCGGTAGTTCCGCATGCTGCAGTAGAAGAAACTTCGTACCAATTGGGAGCTAAAATATAGTTTTCTCGTGTGTGTTTGTTTGTTTGTTTGCGTGCGTCCATGCGTGCGTGCGTGTGCGTTTATGTGGGCGTGTGCGTGCGCGCGCGCGTGTGCGTGCGTGCGTGCGTGCGTGCGAGCGTGTGTCTGTGCGTGTGTGTGTGTGTGTGTGTGTGTGCGCGTGTGCGTGGGCATGCGTGTGTGTGTGTGGCGGGGGGGGGGGCTCGTCAAAATATTAGGCGCTGGACAAAATCAGACCTTGTGTTAAGCTCTCATTTCAAACCCTTTCTGTTCACGTTCAGGCCATTAAAAAGCATGGGGAAAGAGCCCAGGTACGCAGCTGGTGCTCTAAACTCGTGCAATGCAAAGATGGAGCCGAAAGTTCGCAAAGCGCGCCGACTGGACATGGGCGACAAAAGCGCTGCGTCATCGTCGCGCGAGTCCAATGGGCGCGCTCTATGAACTTCGGCCCCGACTTTGCGTTTGACGAACACAAATTTTGACGAACACAAAGTTGTCGGCTGGACGCAACTTTGTGTTCGCATCCAGCCGACAGCTTCTCTGCTGTCGGCTGAACGCAGAAGCTGTCGGCTTTGGAACGGTTGGAGGCCCTTTAAATTGGGGAGAACCGCGAGATTGGGCGCGTCCAGACAGCCATCTCTGCTGTCTGGGGGAAATCCGGTATCCCGGTGTGTTGGCGGCAGCCCTCTTCTCTGGCAGAGTACGAGAGCGGACAGCGTTCTCGGGAGCGGGCGGTCCGCACCGCTTGGGGGGTATTTGGTGCTGTTAGGCGCACTGTCTAATGCAAATGAGCGGAATAAAATGTGTTCTCTTTTTTTTGGCGGTGTGGTGTTATGTGTTTTCCTCTGATGCTCTGCTAAATTCAAAAAGGTCGTGGTGTTTTAGTTTTTTTTTTGCTATATTTTAATTATGTCGTAGAAGATTAAGAATTCGCTATGGAAGTGGGAAATAAGAGAACGCGGGTTCCCAAAAAGATATGCTCGAGCAGAACTGGCGGCAAGTTCGAATCTTACTACTCGTATTCTTTTTTATTTAAAGAGAGAAGGAAAATGACGACACACGTGCAATCTGCGTATTTCCCGCATCTTCGCGATTGCGAGCAGATAAAGAATCATGGTTGATACGGCACACCGTACGCAAGTTATTTGTATTGTTTCTTATTCTTACTTTACCAAATGTGAAAGGGACAGACATAGTAGCAGCAGTGATGTACAGACAATCCCCGAGCGCCCCCGCCCTTTCCCCCCAAATTCCCCCAAAATTCGCTACACAAAGAATTGAATTGAATTGGTTTTATTTAGACACTAGGTCAAGGGTAGCAGAACAAAAGGCAGATTATCTCTGCCTGACGTGGTCCTATCACCCGCTTACAATGCTCAGCAGGTGAAAACAAGAGCAATAAACATTAAAGAAGTACAAGAAGATACAATAGCACATCTAAATCAATCAACACAGCAGATTTTGTACAGAGTCCATACAGTCGTTAGTGCATTTAACACTTTGGAAGTAAATGAAACAGGTAATACAACTCATACGCAATGAAAATACAATCTAAAAGTATTTACTCAACGTGAAGGGACACAAATCTACGATATATATATCCCCCGATTTACACCCTGGATGTAAACCCCTTCATAGTGAATTTTGAACCTTCCGCTCCTTGTGCGCGCGTTATTCTTTCCCTCCCGTAGTTGTCAATCCTTCCGTTTCTGCCAGGCGGAAATGTAGTAAAGGATTTTACAGACATCGAAGTCCACAGCTACTAAACACTTCCCCAGATATACTGTCAATGGTTCATAGCTCCAAACCAGTACACAAATTTAAAGCCATTAAAAAATAGATATCATGACATTAGCTTAAAATGTTTAAAGAATCTTAACATGCAAGAAGTGACTGTGCGGGTTACTTTTTTATATTTTTCTAAAAAAAATACCGGTGAAAGCCATGTTCTTGGGACGAACATTCAGCTATGCCGGGTATGTGTTTTTGTTTAAACTTAATATATTCATTTAAAAAAAGACGTAAAAGTTACACTTATGCGGTTTGTGCAGGTGAGTTATACTGCCAGAGGACAGTGTAGGGGGCTAATCGTAACGATCTGTCGGCTAATTAATTAAAATACGTTAATTAACTTCTCAATTAATAAAAATAGACGTAGGGTACCAATTAGCAACTTGCTGAGTCATCGAAAACCACCAGATCAACTATTTTTAGAAGGACATAAAGCAGGGGCAGCATTTCACGGCGTTCTAAAAAAGCGCTCCCTTTGGGTGCGTTTCTAGCTTTAGCTTTCTTATCGGAGCGCATCTTTGCACCCGCGATCCGGCCCCCGTTGGTAGCGGCGCGAAGCCAGCAAGTTGGGCGCAGGTGTGTTGCGCGTCTCAGCCACTGGGGAGCAGGACCACGGGCGCAGAGATGCGCTCTGATAAGAAATCGAAACCTGGAAACCCGTCCAAATTGAGCATTTTTATGGAACGCCGTCATATACTTCACCTGCGTTACGTCCTTCTGAATTGAGTTGATTTAGTGGTTTTTGATGAGGCTTTGCAAGTTTCTAATTGGAACCATATGTCTATTTTTATTAATTAAAGCGTTAATAGACGAATTTTAATTAGTTAGCCGATTCAGCGTTACGATTAGCCCCCTATACTATGTCCCCCTGGCCGTATAACTCACCTGCACAAACCGCACCAGTGTAACTTTCACGGCGCTTCTTAAAAAATTGGTAAGATACAAAAAACAACGTATGTGAACACCGCGGCCAGATGTTTCTTAGAAGTACAAAATTGTTGAACTCGAGGCGTGGACATTGCCGAGATTTCACTTTTTAACATCACAAAAATCTTTTTGCCATCACAAGTTAGATCAAGTTACTGCAAGGTGTTAAGGAGAGTTTAAAAAAAAAAGATAATAAATGGAGTTTTTTTCTTAATATTGATGTGCAATCTTGCTACTTTTAGAGAAATGACTTACGTTTCTGAATTAATAACAAGACTACAATGATGGCTAAGGAAATGTTTTATATATTCGTAAGCTGCATATCCGTACGCACATTTTGATATAGTTTGCGACGTTTTGCACGAAGTTGTTTGTTGATAAATAATTTGTGAAAGTGCCCCTAAAACGTGTCTTTTTACGTGTTTCGTAACTCTTTTTAGAGCGCAGCTCTTAGGCACCCGTTTCCGGGTTGAGCGGAGTCGCCATCGGCGTCGGCGTTGGCGTCGGCGTCGGTGTAACCGCGCGCATTGCATTGTGGGACGTTTCCCTGCTACAGTTAGCGGGGATATTTTCCCGCTAAATTCAGTGGGTCAGGTTTCCCCGCTAAATGTCGCGGGCAAATTGACATCACATGACCTCGACACCAATTCAGTTTCCCCGCTAAATTTAGCGGGGAAAATGACGTCACAACCTCATGTCACGTCAGCCATGAACAAATAAGCGGAAGGAAAAGAGGAGAACGAAAGAAGAAAGGAAAGAGGAGGAGGAGGAGCAGGGGAGGAGAGGAGAAGGAAGAGAAGAGGAGAAGGGAGGGTACGGAGAAAGAGGAGCATACCCTCCTCCTCGAGAGAGCTGTGTTTCATTTTCGCATTACAGAGGTTTATTAACGTCTTTAATTTTTAGAGCGCAGCTCTTAGGAGCCCGTCTCCGGCTTGACCGGCTTTGGCGTTATTGTCGGCGTAAGCGTGTTTGCATTATCGGACGTTTCCCTTAATGGCGTCACACGTCATGTGTGACGTCACGAGGGTCACTCGTGACGTCACCGCGCGTTGCATTATAGCTAAATTTCTTCGCTAAATATAGCGGGAAAATTTCCCTCTAAATTTAGCGGGAAAATATTCCCGCAAAATGTCGCGGAAAAAAAATTCCCGCTCAATTTTTCGGAAAGATTTTCTATCTAAATTTAGCTAAAAAAATTCCCCACTAAAATTAGCGGAAAAATTCCCCGTTAAATTTAGCGGAAAAATTTCTCCGCCAAATTTAGTGGAAAAAATGTTCCGCTAAATTTAGCAGAAAAAATGTTCCCATTCAATTCAGCGGAAAATATTTCACGCTAAATTTAGCGGCAAAAACTCCCCACTAAATTTAACGGAAAAATTCCCCCGCTTAATTTTACGCAAAATTCTCCCCGCCATATTTAGCGGGAAAAATTCCCCGCTAAAATTAGCAGAAAAATTTCACTACCAAATTTAGCGAAACAATTCCCTGCTAAATTTAGTGGGAGAAATTCCCCGCAAAACCTTTCGGAAAAAAATCCCTCTATATACAGCGGAAAAAAAATCCCTTGTTTGGTGAAAAAAATGTTCCCCTAAATTTAGCGGAAAAATTAACCCGCTAAATTTAGCGGAAGAATTTCCCCGCTAAATGTAGCGGAAAAAGATCCACGGCCAGATTTAGCCGAAAAAATTACCGGTTATTTTAGCGGAAAAATTCCCCGCTACATTTAGCGGAAAAAGATTTGCCGCTAAATTAAAATTCCCCGCTATATATCTAGCGGAAACTTTTTCAGCTAAATATAGCGGAAAATTTTATCGCTAAGTGGAAGGGGAGCAGGAGAGGAGGAGGGGCATACCGTCCCCTCCGTCCCCTTCCCTCCTCCTCCTCAAGAGCTGCGCTCTAAGTCGGCGTTACAGAGGATTATAAACAACTTTCTTTTTTATTTTAATTTTAATAGAACTATATAATTTTAATTTTTAAGATTTTGCATGCATGATGTAAATTGTTTTTGAAATAAATGAAAAAAAAATTAACTATACGTGCCTGCTTTGGTGTGGTGTTTGCAGCTGTGTAAATTACCATAATGAAATCTCGGCGATGCCGACATTTCACTGTGGTAATTTTACCCCGCCTTGAGGTTCACAATTTTTCATCCCTGAGAAATATTTTGCTAAGGCGTTTACAAAGAGCTGAATGTTCCTCCCAATAATTAACATGGCTTTCACATTTATTTATTACAGAATTATAAAAAATATGACCCGGACTGTCATTGTCCGATCTGACGTGGAAACACCCTGTTGTGATTTATTTTATTAAATTTTAAGTAGCATTTTCGTGCACGTTAGTGCTTATATGTAGTGAAGCTTTTATTTTGATTATTTTGTTATGCTGCTGTTCTGGGTAACTGTACGAAGGAATGGGGCCTAGTCAGGGTGACATTAGTCGCAGTTTCCCACTTCCCATTTGTCCGAATAAAACAATTACTGTATTTGAATTTCAATTTTAACACATAACGTAGTCAATAAAATAAAAAACAAAAAAAGCACAAGAGGGCTCACATTTCAGTGCAATAGGCCCTGGTTATAACCACGTATTTGTTGATGATGGAGCCTTCACAGTACGATTTGAAGTAGGGATGGGCCACCTTCACCTGCACCTGAAATGCAACGACAAAATCTCCAAGACAACAACATAAAGCCGCATCACGGCTGAGCGTGGCGCGCGTTGGCTAGAGAAATTGTATACTCCACTTGCAAAGCAGAATAGCACAATCATCTCCACTTTTTGATCCAAGATCAATGCTGCCAGAGCGGTGCGTTGGTGATTTATTTTCTTAATTTTTTTCCTCGCAAGCGCGAGCGAGCGCTGCATAGAGCCGTTGGCAAACGAGAAGGAATAATAGTCTGGCTTTGCCAAGTAGTTACTCATACATAAGAGTTTCTCTGAGCGAAGCTTGCACAGTTACTCTAACATGCAGTATCTGTAGGCCTGGATTTTTAGGTGTCAGTTGAGCTGATTGGTACATGTTCGCAGAAAGTGGGAAAACAGCTATGTGTATATCCTGCCTCCGTGTAAGTTTTTTTTTTTTTTTTTTTTCAAGCTGTTCTTCCATTTGTGAATATGTAGACCGTCGACTTGTCGGTTTTTATTTACAAGGAAAATCGACGGATGTATTTTTAGTGTACATTACTTTTTAAGATATTGGTGTATTTCGGTTGCCTGCTTCGAACGGACGCCAAAATGGTGATTTTTGTGAGAAATAGTAACTCACGACAAACTAAAAATTTTAGTCTATGAGTGGAAAAAAGAAACTGTGTTTGCTGCAGCCAAAATTGCAAGAAATGAACGTTTTTCGGCTTAAACTGATTTTGGTTTACACCTACGTTGTAAATTAGTGTTCATTGGTGTTTCTCGGTTAAAACTGGAATGTCTGCGGCCCATTGATACTATATGCTAGTGTAGTGACTGTAAAAGCTTCGCTTGCGCCATATTTAGTTATTATGGCATATGCTAAAGCTCCTCGATGTGTCTGCGTTTGTCCATTGGTTTGTCTTGCAAGTAGCGTCAAATGCGCTAGTGCACGAAATCCGTGTCTCGAGCGGCCCTTGGAGGCAAACGGCGGCGGAGCACCCACTTGAGGCATGTGTCTTGCGCGTTTCCAGAACAATGGTTGGCGGTACTTGAAAGCGTGAATTTTATCAAGGCGTGCGATCAGTGTCACCTGGAGAACGCTCTACAAAGCTGGACGCGTGTTGAGAAAGAAATGTTAAGTAACGAAGGATTTTGTTAGAAATAAGTAAGATTTGTTTTAGAAAAGTCTATCTTTCTACAGTTGCGTCGGCATCGTTTTATTTTTTTAGCTTTCTTTGTGAATGTCGGCGTTTTGGAGGGAGCATTTGCGGGGGCAGAGCGGCCGGGAGTGGGGAGCGGCTTCCCCGCGGTCGTTAAGAAACGTCTCGGGTTTCGTTAGTCTGCTCGGACAGATCCCTTCTTGCAGCTGGTTGTGGCTTTTAGCCGAATGTGCCTGTATATAGAGGGTTTCGCCGCTTAGTGTAAAATTGTCGCTTTTTGCCCGATGCAATAACTTAGCGGTTGGCGCCAGTCAGACTGGAAAAATTGCAGAGAACAACTCTACAAGGAATTTAGGTTTGACGGTTACAGCGACAGGATGACAGCTCGCCGACCATTGGACGGCAGTGTACCACGTGGGAGTGGTGAAATTTGAAGTGATTGGTCCATCTCTGGAGGGAAAGGAGGCATCTACGAGGCTAGAAAAGGGCTGCCGAGAGGGTTCTCGGGGATTCGGCTCTTGAGACTGGGGACTAAAGTACGGGGTTTTAATTTTGGAAGTTTTGTATATTACCGTTGACTTGTCGTTTTGTTTTGCAAATAAACGTGGCCACACTGGCCATCGTAAACCTACTAACGTCGTAATGTGTCCAGCGGGATCGAACAACTTTTAGTTTTTTTTTCTTATTCGACTTCCCGGGGGACTACCATCGGGCGAACACCATCATCGGTCGTCACCATCCAGACCGGGCCCCTTCCCCCTCGGAAAGTTGACTGGCGCAGTCGACAGGATCCTGCTGATTTCCTGCGACGGGCGGTGAGTGAAAACGACGGCATCAACGGAGATCGGCGGAGCGTACCTGGGCTCTATGCGACAAGTGTTTCGTCTGCTGGATTGCGGGCAAGGGTCGCGTCTGCTGGACTGCAGACAAGGGTCCCGTCTGCTCGACTGCGGACAAGGGTCGCTCCTGCCGGAGTGAGGACCGTGGCAATATCTACGTGAGAAGCCCGGGGGGGGGGGGGGGGTACAGTTACCCAAAGAAGTCGTCTGCTGGACTGCGGACAAGGCTCGCTCCTGCCGGAGTGAGGACCGTGGCAATATCTACGCGAGAAGCCCGGGGGGGTACAGTTACCCAAAAGGAGTGGTGGCAGCTGACAGGTGGTCCTGGGCGTCATCTACGTCGGAGAACAGGACGACCTGTGGCTTCACCTGCGGACCGGCGAAGCATCTTCAGCGAGCGGCGACAGGATATCGGGGCAAGCCTCAAGAGGAGAGACGAGATCGACGCTGCAGTGCTGAACTTCGTTGTGGTGCCGGAAAATCGTGCGTTTTTTGTTTCTGTGTGATTTTTTTTTTTGGTGAACGAAGAAGGAGCTGAGACTTTCAGGCGACAGGCACGATCGCCAGGTCGAGTGGGGACACTGCGGCAAGTGGGTGGCGGCGACTGGAGGAGCAGCTAATTGGATTTTGCCAAGCAACAGTGGGTGAGTCCCATTCCCGTTTTCTCCGAGGCTCACCATGACCAGAGAGACTAGATCGAAGACCCCAGGGTCTTCCCTCAGTGGCGCCAACTGGGAACCAGACGGTGGCACCAGTGGGGGAGGGCAGCCAACAGATTCGAATGACCTTAGTGCTGAGATAACACTCATGAGACTAAAGATAGAACTCGAGAAAATAAAACTAGAGCAGCTCAAAATAACGGAGCAGCCTCATGAAGAGAACACTCGGGGTAAAGGGGGAGTCGGACGGTATGCAAAGGAGCTACGTGCGGTGCTGGCGCCAATGCCCGAGACGGACACATTGGTACCTGCATGGTTTAAGGGCGCGGAAACAATGTTGGCGAGTTGTGAGATTCCACAGGACCTACACGGGGCAATCATCCTACCTTTTCTAAACAAGAAAGCTAGCGCCGTGGTGGCGAACAGAGCAGAGGGACGGGTATTGAAGTACAAGGAGCTACGAGACATTATCCTCGACGAGCTCAGGATGACTCCGGATGAGTACAAGCGGAGGTTTAATGTCGCGCGCAAACAAGAGAACGAGTCGTGGGCACAGTTCTCTACAAATCTTAATACTATGTATGGATACTACATGGAGAGCCGCAAAGTGGAGACACTAGATGATTTACGGCAGCTGACCATCTCAGATCGCCTAAAGCATGCCATGCCGGATGATGTACGCGCCTACGTCCTTCAGAACGAAACCAAAGAATGGCTAAGGCCAAAGGAAGTGGCGGGACTTGCGGAGAAATTTGAGGAGAGTAGACACAATCGAAACTGGAGGCCCCAGAGACCGACTGAGAGGCCACAGGTGAACTTGCGGGGTGGGCCTGTGAAAGTTGGGGGCGACCAGCGTAGGATTGAGAAACCCCGACCACCAGGGTGCTTCGCGTGTGGGAAGCTGGGGCATTTTAGGCAGAACTGTCCTGGATTAGCGCATAGAGCCGTGGACTCCGGGAATAAATCGGCCTCCGCGGGTCTGAGTGCAAGGGCAGCGCTTTTGCCGCAATCACGCGAGACCCTTGAGACAGCGGGGACGCGCAGGCATGGGGAAACAGGTTCAGGTATAAGCTGGGTACAGCTTACGGCAGGGGGCACACCCTTCTCTGCCTGTTTGGACTCGGGCGCTGACATAACTGTCGTGAGGCGGGAGGTGGTGCCCGAGGAGTCACGCAGGCGGGGAGGGGAAGAAATCATGCTCAGAGGTGCATTCGGCCAGACGGTGACGGCAAAGCTGAGGTATGTGCCGTTGGGGCTGTGCACCGCAGACGGCGGGACTGGCCAACATGTCGCCGTGCTGTGTGCGGTAACGGGAAGACTCGCGCAGGGGGTGGACGCGCTGCTGACGCCGGACGCATTTGAGGAGCTTACGCGAGCAAACGCTGAGTCTGCTGAGCAGGCAGAACAGGTGCAAAGGCTGGAGGCAGAAATCAGAGCGGAACAGGACCAGGTCTCCGGCGATCCCCCTTTAGAGTTCGAGGAAGTGGTAGAGGGTATTGATTCGGCCGGGAGCACGTGTGATGTAGACTTGGTCGAGACAGTTGCGGAACGGAGCGCGATCGAAACGGGGTTCGTATGCGAACAGAGAGACGACGGCTTTTTGCAGGGCTCGTGGGAACAGGCCCGAAGCGGCACGCATGGCATGTTGATTGAAGGTAATTTGTTGTATCACACGGAACAAATTGACGGGAAAGAATGCAAACAGCTTGTGCTGCCGAAGCCCCGTAGGGAAGAGGTGTTACAATTGGCGCACGACATGCCATCGGGAGGGCACTTCTCACAAAAGAAAAATCGAAACTGGGAGCCCCAGAGGGCGGCCGAGGGGCCACAGGTGAACATGCGGGGTGGGCCTGCGGAAGTTTGGGGCGACCAGCGAAGGGTTGAACGACCTCGACCGCGACGGTGCTTTTCGTGTGGGAGGCTGGGGCACCTTAAGCAGAACTGCCCTGGAATAGTGCATACAGCCGTGGACTCCGGGAACAAACCGGCCTCCGCGTGTCTGAGTGCGGGGGTAAGACCTTTGCCTCGGTCACGCGAGACATTTGAGACGACGGGGACGCGCAGGCATGGAGAAACAGTTTCGGGTATAGGCTAGGTATAGTAAACCTTTTTTTTTTTTTTTTCTGTTCGCGTTTGGATTTTCTTGCCTGTAGCCAACGTTAATTTTTTTTTTTTCTGCTTTAGGTAAATACTGGTCATGGTGGAATCTGGAACGTACGGGTTTGGGTCTCACCGGACTGTGTTTGCTTGTGCTTTTTTTTGTGTGTGTTGTTGGTTTTCCCTGTCGCCCAACAGATTATTTTTTTTTTTTGGCAGGGGGTATAGCTCCTCTGTTGTTGTTTTGTTTTTGTATGCTACGCGTCTGTCTCGAAAAGGGGGACCGATGTTGCGCGAACAGCAAGTGTACTTGCAACATTCTTGGTGGGGAGGTGTTAAGTAACGAAGGATTTTGTTAGAAATAAGTAAGATTTGTTTTAGAAAAGTCTATCTTTCTACAGTTGCGTCGGCATCGTTTTATTTTTTTAGCTTTCTTTGTGAATGTCGGCGTTTTGGAGGGAGCATTTGCGGGGGCAGAGCGGCCGGGAGTGGGGAGCGGCTTCCCCGCGGTCGTTAAGAAACGTCTCGGGTTTCGTTAGTCTGCTCGGACAGATCCCTTCTTGCAGCTGGTTGTGGCTTTTAGCCGAATGTGCCTGTATATAGAGGGTTTCGCCGCTTAGTGTAAAATTGTCGCTTTTTGCCCGATGCAATAACTTAGCGGTTGGCGCCAGTCAGACTGGAAAAATGGCAGAGAACAACTCTACAAGGAATTTAGGTTTGACGGTTACAGCGACAGGATGACAGCTCGCCGACCATTGGACGGCAGTGTACCACGTGGGAGTGGTGAAATTTGAAGTGATTGGTCCATCTCTGGAGGGAAAGGAGGCATCTACGAGGCTAGAAAAGGGCTGCCGAGAGGGTTCTCGGGGATTCGGCTCTTGAGACTGGGGACTAAAGTACGGGGTTTTAATTTTGGAAGTTTTGTATATTACCGTTGACTTGTCGTTTTGTTTTGCAAATAAACGTGGCCACACTGGCCATCGTAAACCTACCAACGTCGTAATGTGTCCAGCGGGATCGAACAACTTTTAGTTTTTTTTTTCTAAATCGACTTCCCGGGGGACTACCATCGGGCGAACACCATCATCGGTCGTCACCATCCTGACCGGGTCCCTTCCCCCTCGGAAAGTTGACTGAAACCTTCGCGTGTTTCGTCAATTAAAGCACCGAGCAACTCGTGATATTGGTCATTACAATATGCGAGAGAGCTGAAAGTACCATGCACATTAGTTGCGTGACCCCAAATGTTAATCGAGTGAGAAACTGTCTCATTTAAAGTTCAAATTACGTTTAGGGTGTCCTCTCTCATTGAGCAGAACATCGACGAATATGCATGTGGACATGCATGTGCCGCATGTTCCTGAAGTAGCCTTGGCAGACCTGCAATTCACCTTTTCTGGGTGACGGGCGCCGTCTGGGGGCTGCGACAAACCACAAATGGAGGGCAGCCCAATATGAGTCCGCCCGTCAGAACACATTGGCATCGTGCCGTTGTGTCGGTCTTCATTGCTTTTGTACGCCTTTTTCTACCGATACTCAAAGAAGAATCGTCAAAAAATCGAAATATGAACCAATTTAATGGCTGGATATGTTGGTTGCGAAAAACGGTGCCTGTCGAAAATGGCGATAGCGTAAAGTATGGAGGTGGTGGGTCAATGCTCAGAATCTAACTAAAAAACAAAAAAAGTCAACTGTACATGCTTGCTCACACGAGCAGACGCATGGATACAGCTAGGTGCCCTCCTTGAAATCGTGTGATCACCACCGCAGTGGTAGGCATCTGATTCCCGCTCTTTTGTTCCATACTTTCGCCGCCAGGCCGCAAAACGTTTCTTTGAGCATTGCGACAGGCGGCAATTTCTCTTAAAATGGCGTCTCTGCTGCTAGGTTCCGCGATATGTTGTAAAGCTCCTGGAGCCCTCACCATCCATGGCAAGTCAGCGCCCTTGAGGAAGCTGTTATTCCCCAATGTTGAACCGGCCTTGACTTTGGCGCAATCTGCAAGTTCAATTTAATAAATTCAGTATAATGGAATACAGATTCCACTATAGAGTGAAGCAGAACTCTAGGTTGTCGAAATTTCACTCTAGACTAAGAGTGAAATTTCGAAACCTGGAAGCCTTTCGGCAAGGCCTAACAGTATTGTATTTATTTATCTTTATTTTTAACGCGCCAATTAGGACTCTGTAAGGAAGCTGTGGCGGCCCACTTTCTCCTTGGCGGCAGGCGCTTGCGGTCACGCCGCCGCCGTGGCCCCAGGGGGAGGGCGTCGGGGTCTTTCTTTGCCCTCAACCGTTTTGTTTGCGGTGTTTCGGTTAGGGCCGCAGGCCCACCCGTGCTAGCGTCCTGGCGGACAGTAGGTTGTTCCCCCTGCGGGGTGTTTGTTGCTTTCGGTGCCGGGGGGTATCTGCGTTTTTGTTTGGGAGGCGTCCGCCGCATGTCGGCCTCGCCGGGCCGGGTCGGGTTCCAGCCCGAGGGACCCGCTGTCGTGGCGGCAACCCAAAGCACTTGGGAAACTGCGAGGCGTTCGGAACCGGTGCCGGTCTGTCTACGGCCGCTTGCGAGGGCGACTCTACGGAGCTGTCAGCCGAGAGTCGTTGCGAACTTGACGAATGCCCGTGACGACTTCCGGCTGATCATTGGGCAATGGACCCACGTGCCTTTCACGGGTTTTAAAACTATCGGTTAACAGATGCCCGAGAGAGAGGAGGTGAGGGTCCTCAAAGGCTGATGCCCGAGCGAGAGGAGCGGATTTTGACGGAACTTTGGGAGTTAATTGAGGCATCCTGCCCCAAAATGGCAATGCCCTGCTTTGTACATAGCCAGTGTACATAGTTTGTAACTGTAAATAAACAGTTGGAAATCTAACTCGCTGAGCTTTCATCACCTGCGGAGTACCTCATCGACCCCCGGCCATGCTGAACCATCGCAGGCCCAACTCCAAACTATCTACGAACAGTTTCTCTCCAACACGAGGGAAATTTCCTAGATTTAAGTAATATTCAGGTCTATATGGTAATAAGGAAAAACTTGCTAGTCTGAGGAAAATTTTGGGCACCATATATATCTTTAATTTTTTGGCCGATTATAATCTTATTTCGAGATACCATCGGATTTTAGCGGCTTTGGCTACATTTAGGCTACTCCCTACAGACGTTTGGCGGCTTGTTGTGCAACCATCTGGAAACACTGAGCACTCGAACAACTCTTGTTAGCAAAATCTATTTTCGTCTGACTTGTCCCGTGAAAGCTATGGAGGAAGGGATCAACAAGTGGAAGCTTCTGAGGGCGCTGCTGTGCCTTCTCGAGAAAAAAAAAACTGGGTACAAGAAGAAATACTGCCATGTCCGGAGATACGGACTTACCATGACTAATAATATATCGTGAAGTGCTGTGCACGAAATAAAAGTTACTGTGCGTCCTGTTGCCTTCCCTGTGTTCGAGTTCGAGAACTCTTACTTGTGTTACACCTTTCGTTTTGGACTGACTATTACAAAAGGCGCTATTGAAGTCACAGCAGTACAATGTTCTAATGGCGTGCATAACATCAAACGTGAAGATAGGGTTTCATTCGTCAGTTTGAATCCCCTGGTAACACTTCCCGTCGCCATATTTGCTTTGGTTGCGGTTTTGGCCCGATGAACTTATTTTTGGGAAACGTACGCGAGGCGTAAGGGCTACATAGTTTATCTCTCATCGTAAAAATGGAAATGCTGCAAGAAAAACGACACCACCAACAACAAATATTTAGTATTATGTAAACATTTAGGCAAGCGAGAAACATTTCGCCAGGAATAAGGAAATTTCGGGCGTTTGCTAGGAAAATTCTGACTTTCCGCAGTGGCAGCCCTGGTGGCAATCGATATGCTGCGAGTACTTCAGTGTTCGACGACATAGTATATTTACCGTAAACCTGTGAGAGTAGGATGAAATCGTTTTATATATAGCTCGTTATGTGAGTTATTATACGATAGGTGACTTTTACGCTTAATCATATCTTACCGCCTGGATTTATAGTGAGGTCTTGTCCCATGGCCATCTGTCAAAAGAAATACCGAATTAGAATGATACAACTGACCATCTATTACTCCAGTGACCGTGTATGACTACAACACCTGTGATAAGGCAAACAGAAGCTGAAGGGATAGCTGTGTTTTCATATCTTCGGCTTTATCGTGATCTGAAATATACAAAAAATATATAAAAGAAATGTCAGTGTAGATATAAATTATGTGTAGTCTGACGAATGTGTTGGTTGAGTTGAGGAACTCGGACAGAATAAGACACACGTGGGGCGAGGAACGACGTGGTATTTCAATGTACTCTAGGAAGGGATTGTTGAAATAAAGTATACGTCGTCTCTCGTCCCACATGTGTCCTATTGTTTCGGTGTTTCTCAAATAAATTACATCTAATTATGCTCTCACGTTTTGATAAAATATAATGACACGAATGATAAAACAGCCATATTCATGCGCGGCATTTCGCAGGCTTGTAATAACCCTTAAAAGCGCATCATACGGTTCCTGGAGTCATTTTGAGACCGCGGAGCTAATAAAAAAGACAGTTGTTGCGATAGAACAAAACTCCGAGACGCAACGCGTGAGAATAAGTTTAAAATTAAAAAGTTTGCAAATAAAAGCTTGAAAAAAAAACAAAAAAACTCAAGAAGTTAAAATTTATGTATGCCTTGAATAACCGCCCAGATATAATCTAAACGTAAATCTTGCTTGCCCAAGCTGTGCCTCTCATTGTCCACCATCCTGTTTTAAGGGACTACATGTTAGCTGAGACAGTTCACATAGCTTTATGCTAAACTCGATATAGGGACATTAAATCGGCATGATTTTGATCATTAATTTATTATGCAAAAGAACGTATATTGTATATTTTTCCCGGTTATGTATTAATATTTATTTATTTATTTATATATTTATTATTTATTTATTTATTATTTATTTATTTATTTATTGACCTTGAAAGCCCGTTCCTGGGCATTACACAAGGGAGGGTTATGAATATAATTTGAAAATTTTTTAAATTATAATTACAGTAAAAACAAAGCATAGTACGCGCATACAATAGTGACAAGAGTAAATATACACATTTTAACACAATTCTAAGTCTAATTTATACGAAGGCGCTAAATTTTTCAGGAAATCTAGTTGTGTTAGTTTCTGTGACAAACTCATTTGGCAATAAATTTCATTCTGCAATTACAAGCGGTAGAGTGGAATTACCGAAAAACGAAGATGAAGCATGGATTAATTCAAGTTGGCTCACATTGTCGACTCTTACGGAACCTCTGTCCGGGGCAATTACGAAGTGACGCGACGCTGGTATATGAAGAATACTCTGAAAAAATTTACCTTAATGCTCTGTTTTTGAATGCTCTGTATATTGTTAATAAGATAATTTGAATTGGCGGGCCTAATAATGATGCCTATTCAAGTTAATATCTTTCCAGGATTGTGTAGGCTAACCTTTTATATCCCAGATGAATTGAATTTCAGGTTGCGTCTCAGATAGCCAAGTGTGCGATTAGTCTTCGATACAACTTCTTTAATGGAACTGTTCCATGTGAGATCGGTGGTGAGGTGGTCCTAAATACTTATACGATGTACAATGGTCAATGCTAGTGCTGCCAAAATTGCAAGAAAAACTAGAGGAGATGGTACTACGATTGAATGTTAGTAACTTGCATTTTTTTATGTTAAAGATGATCTGCCAGTCATGGCACCACTGTTCGATAATATACAAGTTACTTTGCAACGTTACATGGTCACCTGGGGTTTGGATGAATCTGTAGGTTCCCAAGTCGTCTGCAAAAAGGCGCACAAAAGATGATAGCAAGTTTGTTAATTTATTTATATATATATATATATATATATATATATATATATATTAAAAATAATATTGGACCCAGTACCGTTCCCTGCGGTTACATATATGCAAAAATAACAAAATTAGCTTTTTTGATACGAAAAAAACAATGTTTGATAAATTATATTTCTGTGCTCGCTACGGGTCGAAATTGACCATCACTTTCAAACATTTTCATATACTTGAGCGTTTTTACTTCACCGCTAGTGAAAACTTCATTCCTAGACAAAATTCAACGCGCGAAGAATGTAAAAAAAGTCATTCTCTCCCCTCTTGCAGCTAGGAGAGGGAAGTCGGGACTTCTTGCCGGCCGTGCCACGCGAAGAGAGCGAAGAGGGGAGCCCTGGCGTCCCGCAAATGTTTGCGCGACGAAGGGAGGATCACCGTGTCGTCTGCTTAAAATACTTGTTTTCAAACATTTATTACTCGCGTTATGCGAAATCGCATTTTTGTAGTATCCATGTTGCTACGCGTAATGTTGGATGGTCTCAGAAACTTTCGTCGCGATTACGCATCTACATTACGGATCACCGAGCACTGGTGACGATCGTCAGTGGCATCGACGCCGCCAACCACGACGGCTGTGAGAATTAACCACGTCGCACCTCCATCCTCAGGTACCTGACGGCGCCATTCCACCTGCATTGCGCGACCAGGCTGCTGCTATCGCTTTCGTTTCTTCGCACATTGTGGGCAAAAAATACGACTTTTATTGCTTTACGAATGGCTCTCATAAAAAAAAAATATTAACATTTTGCCGAAGACATTATAGGTCGAAAAGATGATTATTTTGAAGAGTAGAAATTGTATTTAAAAAAAAAGCTTATTGCAAAACACTTTGCATACCCGCACTCCGCAATCATTCTGCTAGATACTTGGTGGAAAAAATTGAGAAAAATTAGATTATTTTTGGAACATCAGATTAGCTTATAAGTGTTGTTGTACTGCTGATAGCAACTACTGTAATTTAATTCGCAACTATTCTACAGAGCTGACACTTTGTTTTCACCCTCTACTATAAATAGCAATCAGCAATTTACCCTGCAGATTTGTCATTCGATCCCAGGGGCTCAAAAGTTGATTCTCCCAGGTAGTGTCTCTTTT